AACCATATCCGCGTTTTATCCTTTTGGATAAAGTTTATCCCAGTTTGTTGGGCAAACAAAGCCAGTCGGGCAATATTCGCTTCACAGTCGGGCAATATTGGCTTATTGTAAAAATAAATGGGACAAATTCTGTCAATTCCGTGGAAATTCTGTAAATTTTGTGTGAAATTTTGTGATTTGTGGAGAATTTGTTTGATGTTCCGAAAAATTTTGGTATGTCCGAAAAAATGGTACACTGACCGAAATTTTTTGGGCGGGGGGGGGGGAGGTCGCCAAAATAAATGTGTTCCAGAAAAAAATTTTTCGGCAGTGGTCGGGCACATTCCGAAAAAGTCGGGCAAATTTATTTCCGCTCCCCTAATTTTTTCCTTCCGGTACGCCCATGTGTCTTGCGTATCGTATAAGCCGTAATTTTAGCTGCTTTGAATTGATTTCTGCCCTACTTGTTTTAAAGCTGGTTTCTTTCTCCTTTTAATAAACTATGGAGTTTACTTCGTGTGTGTATTTCAAAACGTTCAAGACTTGCCAGCCTTAGAAAATTATTATGTAATATTTCAAATCCGACTATGAGGACTGGACTAGATTTATCTAGATTTCAAGTCCTCGCATTTTGGCTTGAACAAGAGATTGTGATTTATTTTGTATTAAACTGTTTGATATGATTTATTGTGCCGTGTATTTATTTCAAAACAAAGTAAGGCAATCCCCGACAATATTAATCTTTAAGTGGAGTTTTTCGTCCAGTGGAATGTGTGTCATTCGCTACTCTTCTGAAACGAATTTATAACTTGATCAAGTAGAGCAGAAATCAATTCAAAGTAGCTACGGCTTATACGCAAGACATATAACGCTTGTTGAACAGATTATTAATATGAACTTTGTAAATATTCAGTTGGGCATTTGATCGCTTAGACGCGTTTTGCTGCTAAAACAAGAAATGATTTTAGCAAAAGCGAAAAAATGGAAATTTAGAGCATTTTTCGACCCACGACTTTTACGCACGACGCACGACTTTTTACCCGCGACGCACGACTTTTTACCCACGACGTACGACCTTTTACCTACGACGCACGACACACGACCAAAACTCAAACTCGAATTTACTTCATGTCATATAACAAGGTATGTATTTAAACGAGTGTCCCTATATGTCGTGTGTCGTGGGTTAAAAGTCGTGTGTCGTGGGTAAAGTCGTGGGTAAAGTCGTGGGTAAAGTCGTGGGTAAAGTCGTGGGTAAAGTCGTGGGTAAAGTCGTGGGTAAAGTCGTGGGTCATAAAATGTGCTAAAAACGCATTTTTTCATATTTTTATTTTTAATATTTTTTTGTTACTTTTTCCTTTTATGCGCTAGGTAAATACAGGAAGATTTAACGCAACAAATCTCCAGTAATAAAACAATTTCTTATCTTGCTGTTGTCTATAGTATAACAAGTAAATGTTTCCGTTTCGTATAGTCTTATATAAATAAGTCTATAAATGTATTGTTTGATGATAAAATGTCCTAAGTTATAGGATATTAGGATATAGGTTTATTAGCTTTGGAAGTGTTATAGTCCCTATCATGAACGTCGCGAATAACTATGTCGATTGCATATGTCTGATGCAAACATATTGAGCTATAAATTCTACGTGGCCAACACTCGAGCCTCACTGAATTTTGCTATTTTATCTCCTAGACCTAGTATATGTTCGTGGCCCTTAAAAGTAGACAAACATTTCATGTGTATGTGGCGTTCGGAAATATCCATAAATTGCTACGATTTGGGATTTCGCGATTGAAAACCGAAATGATTTGTGCGTTGTCGCCATGTCAGGCTATTTGCCAACCGAGCGCGCTAGCCGCTGTTATTTTGACAGAATATGATACCTCTACACTTTTCAGCCGTAATACATAATGCACGCATTGTAATCATATACATATCGTTTAATTTAGCTCCAAAAACTTATTTTGTTCAATGCAAAATTGCGTACATTAATATCAAAGAAAAAAGGTTGACTTCATTATACTGAAATATGCAAGATTTCCCGTTACATACATGATTTATACCGAGGCGGCTTTGCATGTGCTCTGCCTCTGGCAACTATGACACCATTGCGCTCCGCGGGAACCAACACGAATAACATGTTTTTTTATCAAGTTTTTGAAGCTAAATTAAACGATATGTATATGATTACAATGCGCGCTGAAAATTACGGCTGAAAAGTGTAGAGGTATCATATTCTGTCGAAATAACAGCGGCTAGCGCGCTCGGTTGGCAATTAGCCCGACATCGCACAAATCATTTCGGTTTTCAATCGGGAAATCCCAAATCGTAGCAATTTATGGAATATTTCCGGACGCCACATACACATGAAATGTTTGTCTACCTTTAAGGGCCACGAACATATACTAGGTCTAGGAGATAAAATAGCAAAATTTGAGGCTCGAGCGTTAGCCACTAATTATACTAGGCACTGCAGCGTAAATTTTATAGCTCAATATGTTTGTATCAGACATATGCAATCGACATAGTTATTCGCGACGTTCATGATAGGGACTATAACACTTCCAAAGCTAACTGATAAACCTATATCCTATATAACTTAAGACATTTTATCATCAAACAATACATTTATACTCTATAGGCTTATTAGACTATACGAAACGGAAACAAAATCAAACACTTAGCCTACTTGTTATACTATAGATAACAGCAAGATAAGAAATTATTTTATTTATACTGGAGATTTGTTGCGTTAAATTTTCCTGTATTTATCTAATGGAAAAAATGGAAAAAGTACGAAAAAAATATTAAAAATAAAAATAATATCTTCGTGAAAAATGCGTTTTTAGCACATTTTATGACCCACGACTTTACCCACGACTTTACCCACGACTTTACCCACGACTTTACCCA